ATTCTATTTGAACTGCTTTAATTCTTTTCAGAACTTGATATTTAAATTATTATCTTCCTTTGGCTGATCTTTAGATCTCCTTTATGAGAATTGGCTACTCTGTTGGTGTATTTGCTATGAGCTATGAAAAATACAGCCCCCTCCGTCTCTATGATTAAATTGACAGAAAATATATTAACATGTATACAATACCAAATAAGTAAAATATGAAGAAAAAAAAGTATATATCATAATGAATCTGATTTGATATCCTATATACTTAAGAAGTTCATCCCCACTATTTGATTTATCTCAACATGCAGCATAGCCACATCATCATCCAATCACATCCAGCCACGTCACATCACATGCAGTCCCACTCAAGACCACGTCAATTTATTCAATTTATTTTTCAGATTTGCTATTTCACACAGTCCCACTCAAGACCACGTCAATTTATTTTTCAGATTTGCTATTTCACATCTAGACGTGAAATAGTATCTCACATCTACTTTTCTAGCCACATGATTTAGACATCAAGATTAGTATTTTTTATTTATTTTTTATTGACTGATCCTTTTCCTGTACGCATTACTTGCGGGGCGCCCGTCGTGGCAGTAGGCCGCTGTTGATCCATTTGATTTTGTTCCTCGTGCGTGCCTCCTTGGCTGTTGTGGCTACAAGTGATTTTTTTTTCATTTTTCATTTCTGTTTCTTTTGCCTTTTTTCTTCTTCTTTATTTATTTCTTCCAAATATGTTAACTTTTTAAATTCATGATTTGTTATTTTTTTTTCAAATTCTGTTAAACTCATGATTGGTTTCATCGTTGTTAGTTGACTATCCACCATCAAACATGGGTTGTCTTTTTTTTTTCTAAGTTGCAAGTCTACCCTCAACTTGCAATTCGGGCCTGACCTTTTGTCGTAGTTGCAATCCCACCCTCGACTCGCAACTGGACTTTAACATTTTTTTTGTCTACGTTGCAAGTCCATCCTCAAATCGTAACCGTAGCCCGAACTTTTTTTGTCCCAATTTTAAGTCTATCCTCGACTTGCAACTGAGGCCCAACTTTTTTTTCCGCTAGTTGCAAGTTCACCTTCAACTCGCAACTAGAGCCTGATCTTTTTTTAGTCTCAATGGCATGTCGACCCTTGACTCGCAACCGGGGCTTGAGTTTTTTTGTCCTCGTTACAAGTCCATCATCGACTCACAACTAGACTCGACATTTTTTCCTGGTTGATAGTCTAATCTTGACTCGCAACTGGGTCAACATATTGTCCCAATTGCAAGTCTACCGTCGACTTGCAACTGGGCCCAACTTTTTTTTTGTCCCAGTTGCAAGTCCACCCTTGACTCGCAAATGAGGGCCCGACCTTTTTATGTCCCAGTTATAAGTCCACCATCGTCTCGCAACTGGGTCTAACATTTTTGTACTAGTTGCAAGTCCATCAAGAACTCGCAAGTCGAGCACGACCTTTTTTTGTCCCAGTTGCAAGTCCATCATTGACTCGCAACTGGGCCCTGGTCTTTTTTTGTCCCAGTTGCAAGTTCACCCTTGACTCGCAACTGGGGTCCGACCTTCTTTTTCAGTTGCAAGTCTACAATCAACTCGCAACTGGAGCCCGATCTTTTTTTGTCTAAGTTGCAATCTCACCCTCCACTCGCAACTGGTGCCCGACTTTTTTTTGTCCCAGTTGGAAGTCCATCCTCAACACGCAACGTGGGCACGACTTTTTTCGTCCCAATTGCAAGTCCACTGTGAACTTGTAACTGGGCTCCGACCCTTTTTTTCCGAGTTGCGACACAGTAGGTGCGTGACTTTTTCGTGCGCGACAAACAGACAAAAACAAGTAAGAGTATATTCACCTCATCCTAAAAAATATATTCACCTCTTTCTAAAAATATATTCACCTCGTTCTACAATTTATTCACTGATTTTTTTTTAAAATGTTTACATTGTCACTCGAGTGCTTGTTAATGTGTTAAGTGATCCCTAGTATAGGACGTTTGTGTCCACTGAGAAAGGAAGTCAACACACCAGTACGTCGTTGACGCAAAATTCCTGTAGCAAATCGTGTGTCACTGTAGACTACACTGTAGCACTGCGGCTCAACATCAGCGACTCAACGCCCGGTTCGTGCATGGGTGACAAGGAAAAAATAAAGACAAATAAAAAAAAACAGTTGATGATGTCATCTTAGATGTGACATAATATGTCACATCTAGATGAGCTATAGACACACCCTTTTTTTTTCAATTAACAGAGCTAAGCACAACCTCCCTAGATGAGAAAAAAAGAGCAATTGATCGATCAATAGCTTTTCCTCCTATTTAATGAAGCCACGTGGACGTCCCACTATGTGAAAGCTCTCTTCCCCTCCCGGTAATAACCTTCCTAAATTAGATTGGAGCTTACATACCGGATTAGTAGCTCCGAAGCCCAAAGGTCATGGATACCTGCGGATGTTGTCTTTTCATCTTCAGCCCTTTACCAACAAGTATATAATTCCCCCTCTGTATGCCGGAGAGATGCACTGGAAATAGCCACGTTTTCTCGCGGATAAAGAGCACCGGGCCGAGCTGCACAACGGCGTCCAATTCCAGTGGTCCAGATATGGGAGATTGGGTTTCACAGGAGGAGGTTCTCCCTTGCGCATTCTTCTCGAGCGTCTATTCAAGGCAGCGTTTGGGTACTTTTTTTGTCAAACCTTTGGATCTACAAGCAAGTAAATTCCATCATCAAGAGCGTCCTTGCAATTTGTTCTCCATTTCTCTATCCAGATAACATGCATGCTTATCTTTTCATCTCTGTCCCGCCATACATCAAGAATTAGGGAAGGGTCAGAATTTTTATGAAGGAAGCGTCAGAATTGGGTCATTGTTTTTAGCCTGCCCTAGAGCTACTGCTGGCGTTATCCATTGAAGCTTCGTGTTTAGGAGGAGGCACAACCTGTCTCGGTTTGATGAAAGCTTTTATCTGATTCGAATATGCAGATTGCAGGTAAATTCGTCTTTGTTGGTATCTAAGGCAGTAGGTCAACAAAGAGAGTGGATAAAATGTACGCTCACGTTTGGATTTGAAGGCCTGTTCCCAATTGTATAGGATTTGCCATCTTCTGCACTGGCAAATACGCACCCAATTGAGTAGAGGAAGAGGCAGGGGAAGAATACTCGGTAGTTGCAAGCAAATTCCAGAAGCTAGCCACCTGTACAAGCGAGAAATTTTTCACCTTTGTTTAGCAATCAGGACTCGATGGAGAATCCTACTTACAGATAATGAGTATTTTTTATGTCAACGAGTCATCATTGTTCCTTTTGTCATGTGGTTACGCAAAGTGTTCTGAAAATAAATTTGATTATGCAAAATCTCATGCATGGGTCTTCTCGATCTCATCGTCTCTTTGTTACTCCCTCAGTCCTATAATATATTGTTTGTAATAACAACATATTATAACCAATGTATTCATATATTGTTATTACAACCAATGTATTCATGTATTGTTATTACAATCAATGTATTCATATAATGTTTGTAATAACATCTGATATCATGGTACAGAGGGAGTACATAACTACATATTACAATATATTTCATATAATTTAAAATTGTACATACATACGGCATATATTTTTAATATTACCCGAAACATATTTTTATGTTGTGCTAGAAACATTCTGATTCTTTATTAATTATTCCGGTTGGCAATTCCCTCATGATAGAAAGTGATACACGTTATTTATGTACTGAAGTTTACTAAGAATTTTTAACCCCCATTTATCTTAACATGATATTCTTTTTTTGTGTGTGCGAAACTTGACATGATATTCTAACTTTGATAAATTACAGTTTCCTATTTGCATAGGATTAGTATCAGTTGCAAGAAAAGTTTTGTAGATGGAATGCCTATTGCCTGCAATATGGTATTGTTTAGCTGAAACAGTTATTCTACTTCTTCACGGCCCAAATTATCTTTCTATCGGACAACTTTCCTGCCAGGTCTCACAAGCAGCAATATAATTTGTAATTAAATTCAATTTATGTCTGCTTTTTAGAGCTATATGATTTCCGAATGTCAGTTTTCCTTCCCTTTCTTTAGCTTTTATTCTTTCGATGTATCTATTCTTAATAACCAAATGTCCCGCAACAACGTGCGGGGTATTGTCTAGTATGTGGATAAACTTGGTCAAACAGAGAGTAGTTTGACTTCTAAATGAAAAGCAGAGCTATTGCCTTGCTAGCAAAAGGCAGAGAAAAAAAAAGTAGAGCATCCTAGCAAATGAACAAGTTTTACCTTTCACTCTGTAAAAGGCAAGATGAAGGGTTTGTAACGCTTTCTACTTGGGTTATCAGCAGGGAAGTTTTATTACAAATTTTACCTTTCCCGGTGGTGGTGTTCACTCTGTAAAAAGGCCAGGCGAAGCATTTGAAATACCGTGTGGTTGCCAAGAGAAATGTTTTATTATAAATAGCTTATTGGTTCGTTTCTAACAACATTGTCTGGGTGGTGTAGTTGGTTATCACGTTAGTCTCACACACTAAAGGTCCCCAGTTCGAACCTGGGCTCAGACAATTTTGTCACTTTTTTTGTGCGTTGCTGCCATCTCTTTTTTTGTGTCCCTTGCATATTTTTGCCATAGCTCCATAACGTTTTGCGTCATCTTGGTCTTTGCTCGGGAGAAGATTTTGGCAGTGATGATTTTCTGATTTTGGCAGTGATGATTTTCTGACAACGGCAGCATATACCAGGATCATGAGCCCAACGGGACGGTGACAAATAGCAAGTCGTACTAGTACATGTTAGTATATGGCAAAAATGCTCAATCTCTAATGTGGGAGTACATTAGGACAAAGTTTAGCTGATGTAACAACTCCGCTGCTTAAAGCTAACCCAGAAGCAGTCATACTATGAATAATCGGACGAACAGATGACCCAGCTGCTTTTTTCTGTTATATTGTTCTTGTAATTTCACGCTATCAGCTATAGAACAGCCCTAAACTGCTGGGTGATCGAAAAACTTCTTATGTGGATTCTTCCAACTCTTCTCCAAAGCGCTCCAGCCTTGAAACCTCAGCATCGTAGTCACGGATCAGAGCATGTTTGATCGAACCGTCATCCTCGCTCGCGTGTATTTGCTTCCCACCAAACCTGCACGGCAAGGAATGTAGTTAAAAACCCTTTTCCTAGGTAGGAAACCAAAGCATGCACAAAATCTCAACATAAGCTCCTTCCTCTCTCCAAAGTATTCACAAGATAATATTGTTTTCTAACACCTGAAACGAATCTCGCAAAAGGATTGACAAACTTGAAATGCAGACCAAACATAATATTTTTTTTATCCTTTATCATGACATCAAAAACCAAGAGGAAAAGAACAGCACAATGATTTCATGTTAGAACCTACCATCTTCCATTCATCTTCTCTATGCATTTGAGACCATCTTTCCGGTCTTTGAATTTCACCAATACAACCCCTTGTGGATGATTTTCACAAACCTGCCACAGCAACATGTAAACAAAAGTGGTAAGCTGGAAAAGAGAGAAAAAAGAAACCACCAAAACTTACTGGCGGTTAGGGCCAGTTTGCTCAGTTACGGTTCATTCTGGGGATTTTCTATATATTTCATCATTAATTACAACAAAGCTTAACACTAGTTCAGAGAGCCCCGCATGGGCAGATGTAAGATCAGATCTAATTTCTGGACAGGTGAAGATAGGAACAAGTAAATGAAACTCGTAGCAGCAGACTTATAGAGCATAGTGCTGAATGGTTTATAAATATACTTGCTACCATATGGTCCTACTAAAATGAAACACACCAGCCCATACTTATGTGGATTAAAGACCTTGGCTACTCAGCTTGCATACTCTCACCCATTAGTCTGTTTGCCTTTTCCAAACTAAGTAACACGTTCTCACAGGACCAGTACCCATATGGCGAGCTTTGGCATCGCAATAAACAAGGATCAGTCAGTTTGGTGTAGAATGCGGATGCAGTTCTCCAGTATGTCTTTCAGAGACTGGTTACACAGGTTAAACTCGAAAAGTGGCAACAGCCAGGAACTTTCGTACTCCAAATGGTTCTTGATCATATCAACCTTCTACATGATTAGGAAGAAGCACAGCTAAAGAAGTAAACAACTTTTTAACATTCCCTTTTCTCTAATCAAACTAATCTATTTGTTATGATTTTCCTATGATGACAAGACATATGAGTGCAATTAAAAATTACCTTGACATTGTCGATCGGACCAAACTTCACGCATTCCTCTCTAACATCTACCTCAAGTTCAGGAAGAAGGGTTTCATCATTCTGCAATGATCAGGAACTTCATTCTTAATAAAACCGACATGAGCAAAAAAGTTCCTATACCAACAGGAGCAATCTGAAACGACTCATTTATTCCGTATGAAAAGGGCACGTCAAGCATACTTCCATAATTACTTACTCTCAATTCAGCAGGACTGAACATATTCGCCAAAATCACCTGAGTAGGAATCATCACCTTCTTATCATCATGTCCACCTAATAACAGAACATTGTCACAAGAATAAAAATAAGTAAATGGGATTTTGATCTCAAGATAAAGCTAGTTTGCTTGCAAGAAATGCAGATAATAATGAAAAAGTAACTGTTCATCAACCAACGGCGTAATGATAAATGAACACAACAATAGTTTTTGCAGCTTAATTCTTTTAGGGCTATCTGCTAGTAGGAAAAGATTTAGAAGCACGTCATATTATTCTCAACAAGACACATCCCTAATTAGCATGAAACATGCAAAGCTTGAACACGACCTACAGTTCGGTTATGTCAACATTGAAGCAACAGAAACTTGTCGCTGGGTACACGTATTCAAATCAACCATAATAAAAACAATTGACATAATTTAAAGATAGAAATTACCCCATCCCAGCATCTTATCTTCAACCTTCTTGCCTTTCTTTTTCTTTTGCTTATCTGCCTTCTTTGCCAAAAAAACGTCACCTGAAGCAGATGAAATCATTAGTAGTATATATTTTGCAGTTCATGTCGCTTTAATAAATTGAACTTACCTTTCTGCTGAAATTTGGCCACGCTAACAGTCATTAGGGTCTTACCACCAGGACGGAATGATGTTCCATCCAATAATTGAATTGCTAAAGGTACAGAAGGCTCCTGGATCATTGAAAGAGAAGTACACAGTAAATAAAATAAACATGCATAATTCCGTAGTAACTAGTAAGCTCAGTCAATCTGACAAGTTCAGTAAGGCAATACCTTGAGATAGGTCACAAGTGCATCACCCTTTTTCCTGCCTGTTTCCTTGTCAGTATAGATCTTCACTCGGGGTTTCCTTGTCTCTGGATCCTATATCATCACAAACACATTATAAGTGCATCAGTAGTTCAGTACTCTGAAGCTCAGGAACAGAATATTGATTACGAATAAGATAAGAACAAAGCTATCCAAATATAGGATATACTACCTCTGTCCTAAAATATAAGGCGTTTTTGCAGTTCAATTTAAACTGCAAAAACGTCTTATATTTTTGGGACAGAGTAGTACTCCCTCTGTAACTTTTTATAAGCCGTTTTTAGAGTCCATGACAGTGTAAAAAAAAAGTCTTATATTAAGTTACAGAGGGAGTAGTAAATAAATATCATAATCATGTACAGTTTAATCCATACAAAGATAATACTGTATATGGCTAAATTTTTCAATATGATGATATCTACTATCATCAATACCTACTACAAGTCCAGATAGCTGGAATTCACTAGATTTGACAGTCATGCTGAACACAAACTGAACATCTTTTGACATGAAAACGTGAAGATAGCAAGATTCTGAACAAATCAAATTATGAATTTTGAAACACAGTAGTTACATGCATCTGTGAGTGTACTGACTACTGATAAAACCAAGTTTAGGAATGGGAAGACCATAAAGGTTCAAGATGAGAAATCAGTCTGATCAAGTTTAAGCTGTCTCTGCCAGAAATGAAAAAAAAAATGCATACCTCCTTTATAATTCCACACTTGGAAAATACCTCTACAATCTGCAAACGAATCCACTATCAGATGTCAGAACTAGTAACTTTTTGTATAGCTATGAACATGTTATAGTTCATTTTGAGAACGGTCTTCCTACGAGGAAAACAAAGAGTAGCCTCAGCTTTTGGAGATAGAAAAAACTTACCTCCTCAGCCGTGACATCTTCAGGTAAACCAGTAACATAGACATGTGTGTTGACTTTGAGATCAAACCAACTTTCTGGAGGTTTCTGAGGTTCCTGCCCAAATAAAAACAGTTTTTAAGAATTAGCTTGTGCAAAAGTTATCAAGTCCCTCAAGAGTAACTTGAGAACTACCTTCTTTTCAGTTGGCTTCTCAGACTTCCGCTTCTTTTCTAGTCTTTTATCTACCTTCTCTGGCACTTTGTTTTCTTTTTCAGTTAAAGCATGGTTTTCATCCAATGTGGACGAGCCAGGAATATCTGGTGGTTGAAATACTTCTTCCTCGAGTGCAAAAGTCATGTCTTCAAGTTCATAGTCATCCTTTTTACGTGATATGTCATTCTCTCCATTGTTGTCCATTTCACCCGATACATCATTCTGAGAAGGTATACAAGGAATCGGGTTAGCTGATAAACCCTGGTAATAAGGAACATTAAACAAGACGAATAAGAGAATGTGTTTTTCCTATGGAAGAACAGCTGGTGCAATACAGAATACTCTTATCAAGAAATATTCACCTAGGCCTAAAGAATAAGGCATTGACAACACTAGCAATCTCTAAGGGGAGCTAAATTAGATTCTCAGCTGAACCGCAACTTAGACTACTATTAGTTAAAATTAAAATGTAGTACCTTTTTTTCGGGAATAAAACTTCCACCTAACATTGAAACTAATTTTTGTGAATAGATACACAAAAAGGAAATGCGGCGATGAACGATAAATCAAGAGAAAGTGTGTATGAACTTTAGAAGTTGGGTTTGTTCAAAGTTGTTTATGGAAGGGTAAATTTTACGGAAAATTATAAAACTGATGCAACCAGATCAAGCACATACAATAACTTTGTATTCATAACTTGGTGCAAATATTAGTGAAGTTTGGATAGTGTCAATTATATTTGGGGAGCCACCACAAGACATCTCTAAGTCATCGTGTATTGAGAGTTACAGGAGAGAGAACAATAAACTCCAATTGGATAGATGTTGATCATCAAGTTTTGAAGGATCACACTGGTTTACACTACAATTCCATTTCCAGAGTTGGTCTGTGAGAGTATGACTTGGTATTGTTTCTGATCAACATTTTTGCTTATTCGGACTCAATACTGAGTTGTTCATTTATTCCTTATGTACAATCATGAAAGATCAGGCAACCCTATAGAATCATCCTCTCTAGGTTGATTTATCAATAATAAATCAATGAGAACATACGCTGTAAAGTTAAAAGAGGCTTCATTTCTCTAAAGTTGCGCATACAAAGGGTATATATCCACACATAGTTTACTTCTTTGAAAGGGTAGCTGGAAGGCTGTTTCGGAGAGAAAGATAGAACTGATACTCCTGTCCAGGTTAAAATCTTACCATGGAGCAGGTAAGACTAATAGTAATAGATGGCACAAGCCCATCAGAAAAATTATTTTGACATGAAAAGACTAAGGTGCCACATGTCATGCAATAAATTTCCCGAACTAACAAGCCCTATACGCTAATAAATCATGTAGCTGAGATAGTCGGTACTTGTTCCACTATATGATTACAGCTAAGTGATCAGAAATCATGAATTTTCATCTGATAATGGTTATCTGGAAAGCCTAGCGTTGGAATAGAAAAGCAACACTTACTTGAGGAACCATTGCCCTCAGAGTACGATCCCACTTGTAGATGGTGCCGTCATCATCAGTAAATTCTTCCACACCATCTGGTGGGGATGCTGGCCGCTCATCGGGATCATCAATGACATGCTCTTTGCTTAAGTCACCATCTGCAGCCTTTGCTTTCAGCGCTTCCACCTCTGACTCAGCTTCTATAACCTCCTTCTGGAATTTCTCGAAATCATCTTCAGTTTCTGAAGATACCATTTCGAAGAGCGTTAGGAGATACTTGAAAAGAACCATACTGAATTTGCTTTAAAGGGAATGTAGAAAGCCCTAAGCTCCTAACCTTGTTCAGGTTGATCCTTCTTTGTGACCCCAGAATGCAGCTCTGGAATAGAAGATAGTGGCGTCCATTCACTCCTCCCCTCCGCCCAGAGCATTGTGCTCTCGTTGAGGTACCCATTAGCAAAATGATCTGTACAGGGAGCCAAGTTCCTCAAATCCAGATCACATCGAAAACAAGACACATAGATCTTCAGAATGTAAAAGGGCTACTAGCTGCCATTCTGAAACAATATGCGCCTACAAAACAAGCAAGCAACCTCACAACATGACATAAACCCTATCTCGCAACCTGCCAGTGCTAACAACTCATCGATGAGCCAGCTTTGGAGTTAGGAACTATAACGCAACAGTGGTGGATAATGCAGTGAATGACACTGTAGAATGATACATACACTCTACGGATAACCACATAGCACGAATTCAAAACTGCCATATGGGCTACTACCGTTACTTTCATATCCATTGATTGAAGCATCAATTTACTGGTTACAAAGGAAATTGTAGCTTATGATTAACACGCCCAATTGACACGATCTAACAATACCAGGTACTGGGATTTGCACCACCCAGACTCGACACTTGCTGATACTCACAGGAAATACAAAACTAGCGAATAGGTGGGAGCCTTCCGGATTGCAGAAAGGCCACACGCGAAGTTTCTCTGATTTTGCGAGGATTCAATCCCAGCTTGCGAGCTACCGGCGTCCGCATTTCCACTAGCAGGTATAGCGAGAAGATTGGGTGTCGAAGGGGGGAGGAGGTACCTCGCAGCTCTGAGAGCGCGTAGGGGCCGACGTGCTCCTGGCTCGGGCCGAGGACGTACCAGCCCACCTCGCCGCCGCCCTCCATGGACCTCCGCGCGCGGGGAGCGGAGGCTGGGGCCGGAGATTCCGGTCTCGTCGCCGCCGGCGACGCGAAATCCTTTTTCGTGAAGCGACCGCCGGAGAGGGGGAGGAAACTTTTGGGGCTGGGGTTTCCAGAGTGGTCTAGACCTGGATCGAGCCGGTGCCCTCCGATGGAAGCCGCTGCCGTCCGATCAAGAGGGTTTCACGATCAAGGTCGGTCCAGACCATACATGTGTAAAGTTTATTTTTCCCGAGAATTCATACACATATAAGGGTGCGTTTGGATAGACCATACATGTGTAAAGTTTATTTTTCCCGAGAATTCATACACATGTAAGGGTGCGTTTGGATGCAAAGTATTTTTGCGTTTTCTGAAAATACTGTGGTTTCTGGAAAAAACTTTGGTATTAACTACTTTTAGGTGTTTGGAAAAAATAAATATTGTAGTTTGAGATACCAATGTATCTGTCATACTGTGGTTTTTTTGCGGTATCTAAAAAAAAGGTTAAACCGAACTGAAATAATTCGTTGCCTGCTCGTCTACGTCCAAAGATGATCAAATGCGATTGCCGCCTCTAATTCCTCTATTTATTGTCTTTTCAACAAAGTGTTCTTGATTATTAGGCGTTTCAGGTTTGGTTGTTAGTTTGTCTAAGGAGACGACGCACATGTTACGTTCTTCTGGCGATCTTCCAACCTTCTATCCGATCACTGGCTGCAAAATTCACGAGTAACGCGAGGTTCAAACAAACTTGCTCCTGGAGTATATCGATTGGTCGTTGGAGCACTCGTACTCAGCAGGTTAAAGCTAGCTACACAATCGATTCTATGCGCATATAGACGCATGTAACACGCACATTTTTTTTGCCCCGGGTAGCTAGGAGGGGATTTGACGTGCATGACATGCTGCATGCATTGGGCATCGTTTCTACATGCAGATCAGCTTCATGAGTATAGTTGAGCAAGGCACAACGAGTCAAAACATGAGTTGCCAAACTCATTGGTGGTTTTGTGAAAACGGAGGAAAACTATGGTTTTTAGGAACCGAAGTATTCGTTGCCCATGCATTTAAAAACTGAGGTTTTGGATTACTGTGGTTTTTCAAAAACAGTGCACCCAAACTAGGCCTAAATCTATCCTGAGAGAATAGTCGCGTGGAAGAGTAAAATTTAAACGGGTTTGCTCTTTTTTGTCCGGCTGAGATGTAATTGTCTTTCATTCAAAATTTGGGTCTGATGATGCGCCATGATTCGTGTTACTTTTCTGCCGCGTGATGAACCAACCTAACGTTTCGAGGACGCTTTTCTTATCGGATTTCCTGCGAGCCGCCTACTATTGATTGTCTTTCTCTTAGGGCGTGTTCTGAACCCCTCCCACTCCGAGCTTCACAAACTCCAACTAAAAAACGAAGCCGAAAGCATTAGCTCTGAGAAGCTGAAATCGTGAAGCTCTCACGAGCCATAGTGCATTTTTGTGGAGCGAGGAAACCCCAGCTTCTCGAATCGTTCTCGCTCTGCTCCCTCGTTCACCCCAAACTCTCCCACCTCAAACCATTGTCGCCGCCGCCACCCCTACTGAGGGACTCCTGGATTAGGGGGTCCTCGGACAGCCGGACTATATACTTTGGCCGGACTGTTGGACTATGAAGATACAAGATTGAAGACTTCGTCCCGTGTCCGGGTGGGACTCTCCTTTGCGTGGAAGGCAAGCTTGGCAATTCCGATATGTAGATCTCCTTCTCTGTAACTGACTCTGTGTAACCCTAGCCCCCCCCGGGTGTCTATATAAACCGGAGGGTTTAGTCCGTAGGACAACAACAATCATAATCATAGGCTAACTTCTAGGGTTTAGCCTCTACGATCTCGTGGTAGATCAACTCTTGTAATACTCATATAATCAAGATCAATCAAGCAGGAAGTAGGGTATTACCTCTATCGAGAGGGCCCGAACCTGGGTAAACATCGTGTCCCCCGCCTCCTGTTACCATTAGCCTTAGATGCACAGTTCGGGACCCCTACCCGAGATCCGCCGGTTTTGACACCGACATTGGTGCTTTCATTGAGAGTTCCACTGTGTCGTCACAATAAAGCTTGATGGCTCCTTCAATCATCAGCAACGATGCAGTCCAGGGTGAGGTTTTCCTTCCCAGACAGATCTTCGTATTCGGCAGCTTCGTACTGCATAACAACTCGCTTGGCCGTCTGGAGCAGATCGACAGCTACGCCCCTGGCCATCAGGTCAGGTTTGGAAACTTGAACTACACCGCCGACATCCGCGGAGACTTGATCTTCGATGGATTCAAGCCCACGTTAGGAGCGTCGAACAGTCACGACAGGCATGACTTAGATCTGCCATCGGACGGTGTTTGGGATATCGCACCTGCGGCTGCCCCGACCTTCAATCTGGAGCAGATCACGCCATCCGAGGACGGGTGGATGGACCCCATCACGGAGGCTGCACATTCATCGGCGCTGGAGCCGAACACGGACTTCACCTCCAAAGAGATCTGTGTCGCCGGACCCCCTGACTCGTCTCTAGTCATAGGTTCCGAACCGCGCGCATCCGTGCCTATCGAATTTGATTGGGCACCGATCATGGAGTTTACCTCCGCGGATATCTTTCAACACTCACCCTTGGGTGACGTGCTAAATTCATTGAGGTCTCTCTCTTTATCAGGAGACTCTTGGCCGAATTATGTCCGGCTTGAGTGGGAAGCGGACGACGAAGAAATTCATTCCCCACCCACCACCCACTTAATAGCCACTGTCGATGACTTAACCGACGTGCTCGACTTCGACTCCGAAGACATCGACGGTATGGACGACGATGCAGGAGAAGAACAGGAACCACCGCCCACAAGGCGCTGGACAGCCACCTCATCATATGATATATACATGGTGGACACCCCAAAAGAAAACAATGGCGATGAGGCAACGGAGGATAATCCCTTAGGGAAGCAGTCAAAGCACCTGCGTCATCGACGCCACTCTAAGCCCCGCCATAGCAAAAATAGCAATACCAGCACAAGAGATGATAGCAATCCGGATGGTGCCGAAGACAAAAACAATCCCGCCCAGCCAGACTTCGAGCAGGTCAAGCGGAAGGAGGGGCAAGCTAGCCCTAACGAGCATGCAACGGATGGAGAAGCAGAGGATGACAACTACATGCCCCTCTCCGAAGACGAAGTGAGCCTTGGCGACGAAGAATTCATCGTGCCTGAGGATCCCGTCAAGCAGGAGCGCTTCAAGCGCCGGCTTATAGCCACTGCAAAAAGCCTGAAGAAAAAACAACAACAGCTTCAAGCTGATCAAGATCTACTAACAGATAGATGGACTGAGGTCCTGGCAGCCGAGGAATACGGACTCGAGCGCCCAAGCAAAAGTTACCCGAAGCGCAGGTTGCTACCTAAACTCAAGGAGGAGGCGCTAGAGCCTACACTACCAGCGCAGGACAAGGCTGACCGACCACCTCATGGCCGAGACAAAGCAGCGTATCAGCCCGAACACCAGCCCGCACTGTTAGGGAACGTAGTAATTTCAAAAAAATTCCTACGCACACGCAAGATCATGGTGATGGCATAGCAACGAGAGGGGAGAGTGTTGTCCACGTACCCTCGTAGACCGTAAGCGGTAGCGTTAGCACAACGCGGTTGATGTAGTCGTACGTCTTCACGATCCAACCGATCCAAGCACCGAACGTACGGCACCTCCAAGTTCAGCACACGTTCAGCTCGATGACGATCTCCAGGCTCCGATCCAGCAAAGCTTCGGGGATGAGTTCTGTCAGCACGACGGCGTGGTGACGATGATGATGTACTACCGGCGCAGGGCTTCGCCTAAACTCCGCGACGATATGACCGAGGTGGAATATGGTGGAGGGGGGCACCGCGCACGGCTAAGGAACGATCCGTAGATCAACTTGTGTGTTATGGGGTGCCCCCTGCCCCCGTATATAAAGAAGGGAGGGGGAGGTGCGGCCGGCCCCCTTGGGGTGCGCCTGGAGGAGTCCTACTCCCACCGGGAGTAGGACTCCCCCCTCTTGCCTTGGTGGAGAAGGAAAGGGGGGAGGGGAAAGAGGAAAGGGGGGCGCCGCCCCCCCTTCCTTGTCCTATTCGGACTAGGGGGGAGGGGGTGCGCGGCCTGCCCTGGCCGGCCCTCCTCTTCTCCCTCATGGCCCACTAAGGCCCATTAACCCCCGGGAGGGTTCCGGTAACCCCCCGGTGTTCCGGTAAAATCCCGATTTCACCCGGAACCTTTCCGATGTCCAAACATAGGCTTCCAATATATCAATCTTTATGTCTCGACCATTTCGAGACTCCTCGTTATGTCCGTGATTACATCCGGGACTCCGAACAAACTTCGGTACATCAAAACTTATAAACTCATAATAATACTGTCATCGTAACTTTAAGCGTGCGGACCCTACGGGTTCGAGAACTATGTAGACATGACCTAGAACTATTCTCGGTCAATAACCAATAGCGGAACCTGGATGCCCATATTGGTTCCTACATATTCTACGAAGATCTTTATCGGTCAAACCGCATAACAACATACGTTGTTCCCTTTGTCATCGGTATGTTACTTGCCCGAGATTTGATCGTCGGTAGCCAATACCTAGTTCAATCTCGTTATCGGCAAGTCTCTTTACTCGTTCCGTAATGCATCATCCCGTAACCAACTCATTTGGTCACATTGCTTGCAAGGCTTATAATGATGTGCATTACCAAGAGGGCCCAGAGATACCTCTCCGACAATTAGAGTGACAAAACCTAATCTCGAAATACGCCAACTCAACATGTACCTTCGGAGACACCCATAGTACTCCTTTATAATCACCCAGTTACGTTGTGACGTTTGGTAGTACCCAAAGTGTTCCTCCGGTAAACGGGAGTTGCATAATTCTCATAGTTACATGAACATGTATAAGTCATGAAGAAAGCAATAGCAATATACTAAACGATCAAGTGCTAGGCTAACGAAACGGGTCATGTCAATCACATCA